GTCCGCCAGGGCCTGGCCCTTAATGGCAGGTCTCGGACGGATATCTATGTTGTACTGGCTGAGGAAGATGGCCCATTTGACCATTCGGGAGGAACTTGTGGGGCTTCTCATGAGGGCGCCGAGGGGTTGATGAGTGAGCACTTGGACCGGATGAGCTTGAAAGTAGTGGCCAAGCTTCTTGACGGTCCAAACGATGGCTAGCACCGTTTTCTCGACGGGAGAATATCTGAGTTCGGCCTCCCGGAGGGTTTTGCTGACGTAGAAGATGGCATGTTGGATGCCGTCCTCCTCTCGGATTAGCACTGAGCTGATGGCCGAAGGGCTAACACCAAGATATAAGTACAAAGTCTCCCCCACCTTCGGTTTGGATAGCACCGGGGGAGAAGAGAGGTACTTCTTAAGTTCGTCGAAGGCCTCTTGACACTCAGGTGTCCATTGGAAGCCAGCTGTCTTCCTCATGATTTGGAAGAATGGGAGGGCCCTCTCGGCTGACTTAGAGAGGAATCGGTTGAGGGCCGCCAGGCGACCCGTCAACCGTTGAACTTCTTTGACGTTGCGCGGAGGCTCCATATTGATGATGGCCTGAATTTTCTCGGGGTTGGCCTCGATACCCCTTCGGCTTACCATGTAGCCCAAGAACTTTCCTCCCTGCACGCCGAAGGTGCATTTCTTTGGATTTAGCCGGAGGTTGAATTTTTGCATGATGGCAAAAATCTCCCGGAGGTCGTCGGCGTGAGTGCTTGCCTTCTTACTTTTGACGATCATATCGTCAACGTAAGCCTCCATGGTGCGTCCTAGGACGGCTTGAAAGACCCTAGCCACCATGCGTGTGTAGGTGGCGCCTGAATTTTTGAGGCCGAAGGCCATCACAAGGTAGCAGAAGATTCCTTCGGGCGTCATGAAGGCGGTTTTTTCAGCGTCTTCCTCATGCATGTAGATTTGATGATACCCGCGGAACGCGTCAAGGAATGACATGATCTCGCATCCCGCGGTCTCATCCACCAGTTGATCAATGTTTGGCAGAGGGAAGGGGTCCATAGGGCACGCCTTATTCAGGTCAGTGTAGTCCACGCACATGCGGAAGGTAGGGGGCTTCTGTGCGAGGACTACGTTTGCCAACCAAGAAGGGTATTTCACCTCCTTAATGTGTTTGATAGAGAGGAGCATGGCCACCTCCTTTTTCACAAATTCCCTCCTCTCGGCCGAGAGGGGTCTTCTCCGTTGTTGTACTGGCTTGGCCGAAGGGTCCACCGCAAGGCGGTGGGTGATAACCCTTCGGTCAATTCCTGGCATATCCTCCGGCCCCCATGCAAAAACAATGGAGTAGGCGCGGAGAGCTTTGGTGATGCCGGTCTTCAAGTCTTCGGGGAGCTTGGCTCCGATCTTCAGGACTCTCTCCGGTTTGGCCGGATCGAGTATCAGGTCTTCAGTCTCCTCGGCAGGCTCGGCCCTCGGCCTACTTTCTTCCTCCTCCAAGGCCTTGGTGGTGATGGTGTCTATACGTAACTCTGTTTTACTAACCTTCTTGGTGAGCTGAAGGTAGCAGGCCCTGGAGAGTTTCTGGTTCCCCCTCGAATAGCCGATGCCGGTGGGTGTGGGGAACTTGAGGCAGAGGTGCCTCATGGAGATGATGGCTTCCAAGTCCTCGAGGGCGGGCCGACCGAGGATGATGTTGTGTGCGCAGTCGAGGTTGACGACGACGAATTCCACTTCGAGCTTGGCTCTATGGGATCCGTCGCCGAACTCGACCATGAGTGTGATGACGCCCTCGGCGTCTATGCTGTCCCCCGTAAATCCGGAGAGGGGGGTGTTGATGTGCTGAAGGGTCCCCCTATCGAGTCCCAATTCACGAAAAGTACTAAGGTACATGACGTTGACAGAACTTCCTGTGTCAACGTAAGTCCGGTGGATGATGGCGTCATTGATCTCAGTGCGGATGACGAGGGCATCCCTATGCGGCAGGGAACCCGAGGGGAGGTCCGCATCCGTGAAGAAGATTGGATCCGCCCTCGGCTTTTTAGCTGGGGGCATGTGATTGACTTCCCCAACGTAAAGGGACTGAGCCCACTTCTTTCGCTGGCTGGTAGAGTCTCCACCAGTGTTGCCGCCGTTGATCATGTGAATGTGGCGCTTGTATTGCTGATGGGAGCCCTCTCCCTCGTCATCTAGGCCACCAATTTCTCGCTTCTTTCCCTGTGGGTTTCCCAAGGGGATGGTGTTGGGGTTCACCCACTTGTTTGCCTTCGGCGGTGGTCCTTGATGATGAGGGGGGCCCTGGGGAGGAGGGCCCCTGATGAACTGAGACAAGTGGCCCGCCTGTATCAGCCTCTCGATGGCGTTCTTCAGCTGATGGCAGTCGTCGGTCTTGTGTCCATGGTGGCGGTGGAAGCGGCAATATGGCTGGTCAGGGCCGATGGCGTAGATCTCGAGGGGCGTACGGGAGTCTCGCTCAACGAGCCCCCGCTCTTCTGCATGATCAAGGATGACGCTGACGGGATGCGTCAAGGGAGTGCGTGGGTGCTCAAGGAGGACGGGTTGCGCCCACGCCTTCGGATTATTCTTGTAACCGCCCCCGGTTCTGGCTTGGCCACCTCGGGGGCGATCGTTGTACTGCACCTCTCGGTTGACCGGAGGGGGAGGTCCTCCGGGCCGATTCCTGCCCTCATTCCTCTGAGAGGGATCCGTGTTGCGGCGGTCCTTCTCGATTTCCTCCGCTTCAGCATATCGGTCCCCCCGCTGAAGGGCCTTTGTATAATCGCGGGGGGGGATCAGTAATGAGGCTTCGGGAGAAGTTACCGTTGCGGAGGACGGTGTGGAAGAGGGCCATTAGCGTCCTGTCATCGGCGCCTTCGACCTCGAGGGAGGCCTGCCTCCAGCGTTCCAGGAAACTCCGAAGGGTTTCCTCCTTTTGTTGTCTCACGTTCAGGAGGTGGGAGAAGTGTTTCTTTGAGCGATGCCTCCCTGCAAATTGTGTAAGGAAGCGGTGGGCAAGTTCTTGCCAAGAATCAATGCTGCCTTCGGGCAACCGGTTGAACCACTCATACGCGGGTCCCTCCAAGGTGGAAAGGAACCAACGGCATAAGTATTCATCCGATGCCCCCATCATCATCATGCTGTTTTGGTAACGGCTATAGTGCTCTTGGGGATCCGTCTTCCCTTCATACGGCTTGATGGGTTGCCCCCGATATTTATGGGGGATTTTGGCCGCCAACACCCTCGGGGTGAAAGGCGTCCTAGTGCGGAGCTGAATGAGGGGCTCGCCTGAGCCTTCGGCGAGTTTATGTTTCATTTCCTCCACCTGTGCCCGGAGGTCAGCGTACTCCGGATCTGGTCTCGCTGTGGAAGCCGTCGGGGGTGCCTGGCGATTCTCCTCGAGTTGACGGAGGAGGGCTTCAATGATTTCGTCCTTGGGATCCTTCGGAGCAACCCCTTGGGAGTTGGCCCGGAAGGACTGTGCCTGATTGATCTGGTGTCTGGCGTCATCGGCATGGAGGATTGCTTTGCCCTTGCTTCGGGGCGAAGGTATGCCCTCGGCTCCCGAAGCGGAGGCTCCGCTCTCCTGAGGCCTGCTGAATTCTTTTTTGCCGAGGCGGTCTTGGACCCCTCGGCGTACGGGAGCTCCCCCAAGCCTCTCAAGTGCAGAGGTCCGGGGTTTCTCCTTCATCAAGGGACGTTTATCCCTGGATTGGGCCTCTTGGGAGGCGGTGTCCTGTGCCATGACCCCTTCGGCGTTTCCGATCCCCGGGGGAGGATTGGTGAACAGAGGAGGGAGCGGTGGTAATTGAATAACATTCCCTCCAGCGTAGGGCTGGAGGGGTGCCTGAGAGGCGAGGGCTCCGGAATTGAGAGCCATGTTCTGAACAAAGGCCGCAAAGGCTGCCTGAAGATCGATGGCCGGGGCCGGAGGGGGAACTTGGTTCTCACTCCGATCCCTCCTTCGATTATCAAGGCCAATGCGGGCGTCAGGGGCGTTCTTCTGTAGCTGCTGACGGAGGTCAGCAGTAGCCTGCTCCAATTCGAGGATGATACCACCCTCGGGTACCAAGAGCCTGTTGGAGGTCTCGGCACCGTCGCCGGGGGCTATTTGGTTCTCCTCGAGGTTTTTAGATTGGGCACGGGTGGTTCTTCCCATTCTTGGTAAGTGTTCAGTATTTGGTAGAGGGGGAGGGTTTCTTACTTGATAGTTCAGACCTCTCAACGAGAGCACCAAATGATGGATAGTCTACCCGGGGGGTATCTTATCCGAGGGGTTATTGCGGGAATAATTTAGAGAGAAGTCAGAGAAAATAGGAGGAGAGAGAGTTGATTTTATTAAATGAACTCAGCGTGGAGTTGAGATGTAGATTCTGTCCATTACAAGGAGAAATGGGCTGCTATTTATAGCAGCAATAAATGCGATGGGAGGACACGTGTCAGTAATCCAACGGCCGAAGGGTCACATCAGCCTAGTGGCACCGGCAGTGGTACGTCAACCGCATTGAATGCGGTTGGTGGATGCGACGTGGCATTAAATGCGGTGGTTGGCTGTCCCTAAAAGGAATCTTCGATGATTGAGCTTGTTCAGCCGAAGACACCTTGTGTATCCGAAGGCTCCTTGCGTAGCCGAGGGCTCCTTGTGTAGCTGAAGGCTTCTGGTGTAGCCGAGGGCTCCTTGTTTAGCCGAGGGCTTCCCCTGGTGCCGAAGGCATGAGAATGCCGAAGACTCATGTCTTTGCTCGTTTTCTTCCAGTAGCTTCTTATGCCAGAAAAGGCTATCCTGTGAGTTTCGGAGCCTTCGGCCAAGGAGGCCGAAGGCACCCCAGTGCGTATTCTGGGCTACTTTGAAGCTTGGGCCGTTGTATTTGGGCCTGAGATGTCCCCTGGGCTCAATGGACTCGTGTAGGAGAAGTAGGAGTCTATGGGCCGGGGGTTCCTGGGCCATATACTCCATCAATATATTTTGTAGTGTTCCCTAGAGAATTAAAAAAAACACTTGTTATTTTTCAAATTGCATGCCTATATATATTATCATCACACACACCCTAGAGCCTCATCTTTCATCTACTTGTACTTTTGAACCAACTTTTCCCATACCTTATTATTATCCTACCAGAGCTAGTATTTATGCCATTATCATCTCCATCCCCCTCTTCTTCTTCTTCATCCTCTAACCCTCCTTTCTTCTCCTCCCTACTGGAAAACATAGACAAAACTTCCATGGATTTGGGTCAACCTTCGTCTGATCATCTTTGCTATGTCCGCTGTAGCTTCTGCAACACTGTTCTTGCCGTACGTACAAATTTCCATGCATGCATATCAACACATACATATCTCTCTCTCAGCTCCCTCCCTCTTTTTCTCTCCATTTAATTATTATCACGTTATATATATATGCTCTATCTGAATATATAAATATATCTATATATAGGGTTTGTTATATGTTATATCATACGCATATGAATATATGTGTGTGTGTGTACGATTTTGTTGGTGCTAAATAGAAATATGGATCAAAAGTTCTGAGAAAGAGCTAGGGTTTGATGTGAATGCTAGGAAAGTGAAAAACTTACTTCTTATGAAAGTTATTTATGTGTATGTTTATCTATCAGTCAACATCAACCTTCTTTCAAAAAAATCAGTCAGCATCAACCTCATCTAGGTCTTACTCCTTATTTGTCTTTACCAAATAGAATCTGTATAAATTTCCCCAAAATATAGTGGTCAAGTAAGTTGTAATTATTTTTATGATGTCATCACAACTAAATAATGTTACGTTATATAGAAATTAAATATAATAAGCCTTTTTTTTTTGTTAGTTTAAGCAATTCTTTATTCAAACATTATAGTATCAAATTCAAGATGTACGAAACATCCGCACCAAATGGGTTCTAATGGCTGACTATGGTTTACATTGTTTTGTTGTGTTAATAAAAACTGTCCCAAATAAAACTAAAAGGTTAACAAATTGTACAAATAGGATCAATTATGTTTTCCCCTCAAAATAGGACTTATTTGATCCCAAGAAACATATAAATTTTCTCAAGTAGGAGTGAATATAATTTTGGAAATAAAATATGGATAATCCTATTTGTATACTTTTTTATGTTTTAGTCCTGTCTTTGAAATGTTATGTTGATAATCAACCGTAATAGCTCATTCGAACTTTTTTTGTTCAAACAGTTATGAAGTATATATGGCACACATAAAATATATGAATGCATATAAGAAAAAAGATGTATGAGGAGATAAGATCATCTCTAAGCTAATAAATGAGTTTTAAATATTTGAAAATGTGCGAAGTTAATGATACCAAAATTATCATTATTAAAAGAGCATTATAAAATTAAAAGCATACTCCGTATAATACTACTTCCTATTATCTCTGTCCCAAATTGATTTGCAAATTTGACTTTTCTTGCCCAAACAGTTTTATTTTATTTGCTTAATTAGGATGTCAATCTTTAATTATATTCTAATTTGGAGTTTGCAACTTTGAAGAGATTTTAATGTAGTTTCTGAATATGTAATTTTAATTTTTAAAAATTGAGTTGAATATCGATTATGAGGGTTGACTTTTATTACTGGTTGACCAAAAAATATTGACTTTGAAAAACAATTTGGGATGAAGTATTTAAATTACAACCTAGCATAGACACAGACATAGCGATTACGTACTGTCTGCTAATTTATTTGTCTTTTTGTTCTGCATTTCTTGAAATAATACACCCTATTCTTGAAATAATACACCCTATTTTTTTTTTCTTGAAATAATACACCCTATTTAATTAATTACTATGAAGTCCTCAATTTTGGTGATATTTAATGTTTCCAAAACGTTATTAATTAGGTCGGAATTCCATACAAGAGAGTGTTGGAAACCGTGACAGTGAAATGCGGGCATTGCAGCAACCTTTCCTTTCTCAGCACTAGGCCTCCTTTCCAGCCCCAGTGCTATGATCATCATCCTAATCTTCAGGTAATTATTTAACACTAATTACCTTTTTGGCTTTTTCCGGAAGATTAAAGAAAACTCCTTAAGATGTTATAATTAAGTGTCACTCACAATATTCAACGTTGTCTAGTGTGACCAAAATTGGAAATAAGAACTTTGGGCAAGATAATGACAACATTAATTAAGCTTCCCAACAATGCGTTTACCATGTTCAACATGTTCTACAGAACGGGGTTTCCCGATTTCTGGGGCCCCAATTTTTTTTAAAAAAAATTATTAGTATTACATAGTAACAATATATAAAAATATTAATCAATAAAATAAAGTTTTTTTGTCCGTACTTTTACTCATATTTTACTCAAATTGATTGAGTGTTGAGTTGTGATGCTCTAAATCAAACATTAAGTGATTTTTAAAATTTTTATTACATTATTTGATGAGTATTCAATTGATTTCACTATAAGTATTTACAATGATTTTTTTCATATTAATTAGAGGTCTCGATTTTTACGTTGGAACGGGGCCTCCAAATTTATTAGACGGCTCTGCCAGCAATGAGTTAATTGTGAATGAATAAGAAATCATTAATTTATCAAGATTGATCTCGTAAGAAACTATGGACGTGTTTGGCATTCAGCGGCTAACGATTAGCAGATCGCAGATTATGTTAGCATATTGTTAATAGCAGATTGAGTCAGCGGGTTTGACCGGCGGAATAAATTGGCGGGTTGTTAGAAGATTTTGGTAATCTAGCTGGTTGGCCATAAAAGTAGTAGAAAATGTCATTTTTCAAAACGTCAACCCAAAACTCTCCTATCGGCAGCGTTTTCATTTCAGCGTTTTCGTCCAAAATGCTAGTGTCGAACCGTTATTTACCAAACAACTTTTTCACTTGTTAAAAACGCTGAAAGTAGTCAAACTGCCATTCTTCGGCTGAAACGCCGTTTACCAAACACCCCATAGTCTAAGTAATTGAAGTAAATAAAAATACTAGATAACCCATCATAACTTATGGCTTATGCGCACATATAGAACTATTCTTATTTTCCGTAAAAGTATCTTTCAATAAAAGAATTATATATGCATTGTTAAAGTTTACACTTCCTTTGTTGTTTATTAGTTCAAATAATTTGACTATTTCACTTTTCATATCATCTACGGTAATTACATTTTATTTACCAGTATATTAAAAAATCATATTAGTATTATGAAAAAACGTTGTTAACTTTGATTGAATAATGAATATTTTAGAAATCTGAATTTTAGAAATACGGAGTGCAAATTAATCGTCAGAGCAAATGGAGTAGTAGAGAGGACAATAATGCTAGGTTTGGGCTCAATCCAAATGTGATAAAAACAAATCTTTGAATTTGTGTGTAAAAATTTAGTGCAAGTTTTATATATTTTTTCTTTTAAATGAATCTCCGCTAGTGATCAAATTCAAAGTGGCCAAACATTAAAGCCAAATCATCCGACTAATTAACAAAGGATGAAGCGTTTATGTTAATGTTTGATCATATTGCATGTTTTTGTATTTTTCTCTATCTAGTTTAATGGTAGCATTAAGAAAATGAGAGTGTACTTATCATGAATTTGATTGATTCAATTCAGATCATTTTTCATCATTTATACTTCCTCCGTTCCTTTTTAATTGCAACAGTCAACATTTCACGTTTGCCAACGCACAAGTTTGACCACTAATATTTTTCATTCCTTATTAGTAAAAAATTTAAAAAATTCATATTTTGAAAATTTAGAATGAGAAGAATTTAACAATATTTTTTTGAAATTTAATTTGTAATGCATTAATTGATAAAATATAGTCAAAGTAGAATATGTGAATAGTGGAAAAAGTCCAATGTTGCAATTAAAAGAGAACGGAGGTAGTATAATGTTTAAATTGTTCAATTACAATATTTTAACTAGTTTATATAAACAAGATATGCTGCCTACCATAGAATTTGCCTTATTAATTGTATTGCGGTAAGGTCAAATGGTAAGTGTTTGAGTATTTATATTATTGTTATGCTTGTATATCTTTGTTTAATATAATAGGGATCATGCAATGGATTCAAGAGGGGCCAACCATCGTCTTCCTCACCAACATCTGCAGAACCATCCTCTCCCAAGGCTCCTTTCGTCGTTAAACGTACATACATACAAATTTTTATATTATCTCCTGTCTCTTTTTAATTGTCTTATTGTCCTTTCTGGTTGTCCAAAATGAATGTCAAATTTTCTTTTTTTTGGCAAGAATTATATGGTCCATATAATTTCACTTTATTTTATTCAAATCTCATTATCTTAACCACAATATTTAGTTTTTCAATCATTTTATTAATAACTGTGTCCACCTTTTTTTGCATCAATAACCGTGTCCACCTAAAACAAGACATCCAATATGAGACCAAGGATGTACTCCGTACTATATATGCATGTGTATTAGGCTTAACATAAATTAATACGTAGTATTAGCACTGGTTTGGTTCCTATCCCATCAGTTAATCATAATGTATCACTTGGTAAGCACTAATGGCTCGTTTGGTAATTTGAACATGAGACAATTCTCTAAGGAAAAACATAATTAACATAAATTGCATCTAATAAGATTGCTCAAATTTTAAAGAAGAAATAAAAATTACTCATAGCAATGACATGACCCCAACACTCTTATAGGAAATAACGTAATCATACGGTGAAAGGAATTATATTCTTACACTTTCAATAATCTCTTGCACTAGGTGTATGGTTCTTTTAACAATTTCTTTCACCGTATGGTTCTCTTGAAAACCTCTGGTGTTGGGGCCATGTCATTGCTATGAGCACTTTTTAATTTCATGTGAAATACAAATACATAGTTGGATTGGTGTATACTAGTACTCCCTCCGTCTCAGGGAGAAGTTCCCAATTTCCTTTTTTGGTAGTCCCAACAAAAAGTTCTCATTTCCCTAAATGGAAAGTTATCCTACATCAAAACAGTGTCAAACAGTGCAAAACAGTGTCAAACAGTGTCGAAACAGTGCCAAACAGTGTCGAAACAGTGCCAAACAGTAAAATTTACCACTCAGTAACTTTATTTCCTAAATATGTGTGAAAGTCAATCCGGGAACTTCTCCCTGGGACGGAGGGAGTATAATTTATTTTTAGATTACAATAAAAAAATTCTCATTTATGTATTAATCATGTAAGGAACTTCACGATCCTCCACAAAGTAGATGTTTTACATGGTACAATACCAAATGTTTTATAATGCCTATCATTTATGTTAAATGAGTGCCGTTCTTGTCCAGCCGGCCTGACGGGATGCTCCGTCCGGCCGAGGGCATTTCGGGCACTTCCCGGTGTAATTTTTTGATGAAATTTTTTGAGCATGTTCTTCATGAAGTCTAGTTTATCCATACCAAATTTCAGCTCAAAATTCGATCGGGAAGGTCGTCAAATGATTTTTGCAAGTTAACTGGTCCGGAAAATACATATTCCAGACCAGTTAACTTGCAAAAATCATTTGACGACCTTCCCGATCGAATTTTGAGCTGAAATTTGGTATGGATAAACTAGACTTGATGAGGAACATGCTCAAAAAATTTCATCAAAAAATTCCACCGGGAAGGTGCCCAAACGGGCTCGGCCGGACGGAGCAGCCCGTCAGGCCGGCCTGACATGAACATTCCTCTATGTTAAATAGTTAAAGGCCGGGTTTGATTAATGTGCCACATTGCCTCATGTTTTACAAATTATGTGCATTAGCCTCTTATAATAATTAGTCATGCACCTAATACATGGGAATAACATATTTAATTATAGAATAAAAAAAGTGTTAAATATTTGAAATAATTACATATTTGTGACTAAAATAAAGATTGTTAACAAAAATGTGACTAGTGTATTAAAATCATAGTAAGTTATGTTCAATTTTTAATCTTAAGTTCCAATGACACTACATTGTAGTAAATAATTATTACTCATATTTATGTAAATAAATTTTATTTTAGTAATATTATTGTAAAAAATCCTAAATATTTTCGTATAATTTAGGAAGCTTCACATATTCACATGTCGTGTAATCATACAGTAGGACACATTTACCCTTCACTAAATATGAGTAGTTATTTGGCTCCATTAAAAGCATATATTCAACATTTTCAATTAGGATGGAATGAATCATATTTTGAGAATCAAGTAATGATGATCTTATTTGTGCACCTTATATTTTACTTCTATTTCAGGAATTTTAATTTCTCTCGTAAGATATGGGGTTTGATTTATTTATCAAATCACAATTTACGAGTAGCTAATTCGCAAGATTTGTATATGACGAGGGACTTTACACATTAAATTCAATAACCTCTTTAATTCTCTATATTGTTTACTTGTCTTCTTACCAAACACCTACACTAGTATGAGATTATTGGCAGTTTAATGGATTAATGTGATGTGAGCTTTTCATACTCAAGTGCTTTTATATTATTTCAATTTCAATTTCAGCTCCTGAGAAGAAGCATAGGCTTCCATCTGCCTACAACCGGTTCATGAAGTAAGCTTTGTGTTTTCATTTCACATTTCAGTCCCAAATCAGATTAAACTTAAACAGATCAAATCTGACCTGAATTTCTTAGTTATAAAATACACAAAGACCAAACGCTTACCAGACCAGACCCGACCAAATTTAAACAGACCAGACTTGACCTGACCAGACAAGACCAGACTAGACCAGCAAATTTCAGTCCAAGTAAAAAAATCCTAATACCACATATTATAAAAGAGAAAAGGGAAATTTTCGAATGAAGTAGGATTAAAAATATTTTGGAATTCGAAAATAGGGAGGAGATTCAGCGCATCAAAGCAGCCAATCCAGAGATACCGCATCGTGAAGCTTTCAGTGCTGCAGCGAAAAATGTATGTTTAATTTGTTGTTTTAAAATCTAAATCATTGGTACATTCCTTGTAAATATGTTTCTAGTCCCTGTAAATATGATACATTTTATTTTAAACTTTCTCAAAAGAAAAAATCATTCTGTATTATACATTACAGAGTATTTTTTTATTTCATCTCTAACTCCGAACTAAAACAAAAAAGCACTATATTTATGGAGACTGGAAGTATGTCTAAATCTAATTTTCATTATAAATATTTTGGGTATGTAAAACCAACACCGGGGTAAACCATGTCACAAGAAAATGCACAATTGACAATTCAATGTCACTAATCATTTATGCTATAATACCTTTGACATTTCATAGTGGGCAAGGTACATCCCAAACCCGTCAAGCAGGTCCACTTCAGAGAATAACATCAATGTAAGAATACATATTTTCTTCTGCCATTTTAATTTTGTTTGTATATGTTTATTTACTTATTTGGTTAACCAGAAGGGTATTTATTTATTTATTTATTTATGAGAGATTTACCTAAATTTTACAACAAAAAAACATTACTCCGTATATTGTAGTCTTTTTATGTTCTTTTACCTTTTTAGGTTTAGAGCTTTGAGGACGCATGAAGCAAGTTTGGGGTTTCATGAGAAATTAATTAATTCACGAAGGGCTCAGTTCAATTTGTTTCATGTTTCAACTTTTTATTGTATCCCTTAGTTGTACTGTCTAACGACTTATCAATACTCCGTATAATTTAGTGAAAGTAGCTCGATTATTGTATCACCAACTACTACGGAATATTATTTATCATATCCTTTCAAGATCTTCGCTCGTTTTAATTGAAAAAGTTTCTTGTGTTATTGATTGATGATAATGAAGATGTTTTTAATTGTATTTGAATTTTCTGGTCTGGTCTGTTTAGGTTTAGTCTTGTCTATATGATCTGATAAATGTCTGATCCGGTCTTATTAGTTTATATATATTACCTTTGCCCAGTTGGACATTGCCATATTTGTATTAGATAGAATAATTAAAAGTAAAAGCCTTTTTCCATTAATATTACTACATTAAATTCAAAAGACATAAATATGACTTATTTTAAAAAAAATAAAAAAATGACATATTTAGTGACTAGTTCATAGTGACTCGTCTTCTACAGTGACTTGTTATTCTAAAATACACTAGTGACTCGTCTTCTACAGTGACTTGTTATTCTAAAATATACTATAGTGACTTGTTCGCAGTGATTCGTACACAATGACTAATCATCTTTTTGTCCAAAAACATAACTAGTCATATTTTTGTCTGGGGTAACTCTATTAGTAATATACATGTCATTTTTCAAAAAGTAAAACTTGTGTAGTTGAGATTTGTGCAGAAGAGAATAAAATATACACAACTACAAATTGATCTTAGGAAAAATTGATAGTAATAATCCTAATTATTGGCGGTCCGCTCATAATAATCCCAACTATTGATTATTTCAGAACAATCCCAACTTTAGGGACCTTCTGCCAATAATGGTCCCTATAAATAAATTCTTGTAGTTTCTAAAATGGATGAGAAGAGATATAGCAAGTAATCTCTATAAATAATCCTAACTTTTAATTTTTACGCTTAATTTCTATTTAAAATTTACTTGTTATAGGAGGTAATATCTGGTCATGGACCATTATTGGCGGATGGTCCATATAGTTGGAATTATACAAAAATAATCAATAGTTGGGATTATTGTCAGCGGACGGACAATAGTTGGGATTATTATTTTCAATTTTCCCTTGATCTTATGCTCAAGTTATTAGGTACTACCTCCATCCCTGTTTATGTGTCTCCTTTGGTTTTGGCACAATTTTTAATAAAGTGGTTGAAAAGGTAAAGTTGTTGTTGAGATTTGAGTATACTAAAGTGAAATGTTGTGAACCACATATTTCTTTCCAAAAGGAGAAATGTGACACTTATTTTGGGACAGCTCAAAAAGAAAAGTAAAACAGGTAAAATGAGAATGAGGGAGTATTTAATTATTAATCATGTGTTAAACCAGAAACGCTATTATTTGAATCCAAAAATTCCCAAAATGAATCCGTACAAAGTAGACCTTGTTTGAGGCATTGCTGTAAATATATTTGTTTATCCCACCTAATTTGGAGTTCCATTATGGAATCCTTTTCCTAAATTTGGGATAAGCCCTGTCATGTGTAGTAAGGTGATAAAGAAAACAAATTTATGTAAATATGGTTACATATACTCCCTTATTCTAAAGTTTGCTACACTTTCCCTTTTGGGATGTATTTAAAAGTTTGCTACACTTTCTCTTTTTGGTAGTTTTTTCTTAAAAATACCCAACTACCCTTACTTTTTCTACTTTTTATCTTTTCTTTCCTACTTTTTCACCTTCTCTTCTACTTTTTCTACAATATTCATTACTCCTACTATTTCCTCCTTAAATATTGTGTCAAAGCCTATTGTAGTGATCTTTACAATACGGAGGGAGTAGTGCATTTAGGAAAGAGTTGTACTGTCTCACCTTGAGTAACTAAAAGAGCTGTCTCACCTTGAGTAATTTAAAGAAGCTAGCCAACAACATAAAAGAGATGGAGTAAAAAAAGGCAAACTTTCCTTCTTTTAAGAATTATAAGAATATTGGAAACTGTCTCACCTTGAGTAACTATTTAAAAATGAATGAATCTCTTTGTAAGAGTTGAACAGTCCTCACTTTTCATTAACTTTTCCAAGGTTGAGTTAAGCTGAACCTTATTCATAACCAAGAAAACCTTACAACTATATAAATATTCTACCCACTCAGTTGCAATTTTGAAAATCATCACTACTTCTGCAAATGTGTAAACAGGACTCTAATAACTAAATGCATTTGCAGATCCTCAACTGGTAGTAAAACAGAAGTTACAGCTATCTTGTTTCACCTGCGGGTAACTTCTCTGCTGCTCCACTCTAAGTAGATGTGTGGACAGCTGCAGCAGATCAATGGTTTCCCCGCTTTCGGAGGACATATGCATATTCAAATTCCAAGAATCTGATATGTGCAGATTCCTATCCATTTCAGCTTCGAAGTTCAAGCCAATATTGCCATCACTAACTTTAAGAACGCTTTCCCTCTCCGCTACTCCAAAGTTGTCCAACTCGCTTAATGGATAGCTTAGAACGTTTTCATTATTTGCTGACAGAAGAGAGTGAGAAGCTATGAAATTTTCTCCCCTGCAGAGTTCTTGAGCTGGTTTTGGTTGTGGCAAATCAATGACTCTTTCTTCAGGATCATACTTTTCTTCAAAAAAGTGGTTGGTGCTGAGTACTTCTGGGAACAAAAATGAGACAGTCTTTTCTGCAGTTAAATTTAAGAGCCTTGGCCCTGCAATATCTGTGTAATACATAAAATAAAAACCATTAACATAAGACGATGTATGTGTCCTTATAAAAGCATTAGAACCGATCCCAAACACTTGAACTAAGACTTGAATGTTGTTGTTGACTAGCACTAAAAAGACTAAAGGCTGGTTTGCAACCACTTTAAAAAAAGCACTTCTCAGCTTTTGGCTTAAAAAAGCACTTATTTACCAAACACTACCAATTTTTTATTTTTCTCGGCTTTCGTGTCAAAAGTGCTTTTCCACTTTTTATACACCAAAAGCACTTATTTTACCAAACACTACCAACTTTTACTTTTCAAAATCACTTTTTTCTCAAACACTATCAACTTTTACAAATAATCACTTTTTCCAAATCACTCCAAAAGTGCTTTTTTTAAAGCAGAAGCTGTTGCAAACACTCCCTAATGCTTAAGCCTGTGCGTTGTTAGACTAATCAGAATCATTTTATACATTTAACCTAGCTTAATGTTATATATGATTCTATTAATGCAGACCTGTTTCAATATTAATGGCATGTACGGTTTGGGAATTTCGGAGAGAATGAGAGGATTGGTTTTTCTCTTACTTATCTCTATGTGTTAGTTTAGACTTTAGACAAGAAATAACTCTATGCTTAGGTAGATTAGATATTTCTTTATAGTATTTAATCTCCACTTTATTTCCAATTGCCTACACACCACAATAGTTTACTCCGTAAAAATGAAAAATTACTCGTCCCCGGTCCCCCTACCTCCCCTAAAATCCCCTAACCAAAGTAGCTCTAAAACTCAAGTGATAGGATAAGTGGCATTATATGTTGGTTGATTACATTAAGTACTGCAAAATATAAGGAGTACTGGTTAGAACAAAATGAAGTCATTTTACCCCAATGAGATTCGCGCAGAGGCTTTCGTCTGCGCTCATTGTGGCCTGCAAGGCGCTTGCGACAGCTTCTTTTATCCTCGTCAAATTCTGCTAGCAAATGAAACCTGCATAGTTTAAGATTATTGCAGATGCATCCAAGAACTCCTAACTAGTAATATACTTCGTATGAGGCAGTGACAAGTTTATCAAACATTAAGTTCATCTTTCTTCCTAATACATTATTATTTTTTCAACATTATGTTAGAATATCCTATACCAGGAAGTTAACTAAGTTTCACAATATAATACTAGTAACAAATATAAGACCCAAAGAGAAATAATGAACAAAGGTGCGACTTTTACGACACAGTAACCATGGTATTTTGTTTTAGTAATATTATAGGGGAAACCCCAACCTCATAGTCTATGTTTCAAGTTTAGACTTTAGAGTCATTTTGGAGCTCCAGCTCTTCTATATTGCTGGTCTGGTTTAAGTTCAAACTTAACCCCCTTAATTTATTACAGAATAGAATTGATCATAACCAAAATGTACTTGGTGAAGATGCTAAGATATGATTACAAACTATTTTTTTAGCTTTTATGTTATGAATATATAACAAGTAGTCTGAAAGATTGAGCTTACCTGCTACATTGCTGGCAAAATCGCTGCTCGATGCCATTAACAATGACTTTGGCCGTTTTAGAGTGCTCATCACACACTTTATGCCTCTTGTGATAGTCTTTAGAAGAACTCAGGTCCCGGTCACATCCATCAACTTGACAAATAAGGACTTGTTTGGCACTAAAATTAGTGACTCGAGCCCTTTTCCCTTCTTTGGAATCATTCATTACCATCTTCTTTGGATTCATTCGTTTCTTTGGAGCCATATCTGAGCATGACTTTGAGTCAATGAACACGGGATTAGCATCACCAGTGCAAAGTGCTGTTTGCCTAAGATCATTATCAGTTTTGGATCTCTGTAGCATTTCTGCCAAACCAGACTCTATGAACTCTTCTCCTTCATGATGATCAGAGAAAGGGTTTAAGCTGAATTCGTTAAGAAGACTTCTAGTTCTTGATAAGGAATCTACAGGTAACTCATCAGAACAATGAAAACCTTTTTCTTCAAAAGCATAGTTCAAAGACTCCATTTTTACTATTGCAGCAGTAGAAAAACTCCACTAGTTACACCAACTTGTCGTCTTCACTGTAAAACTAAACATGGATACCAAATCCCAATTCAATTTTCTGTACCAGAAAAAAAAAGTGGGTCAAAGTGAATGCTTTACTATTACATCTTGACTCGCTCCTTTGAGAGAAAACAAAATGTTACAACTCCACTCAAGAATTGAGGACTTGCAATATGACATGAACATATCACAATGCTTAAGCTTCCATAGAAAAGAGAAACTAATAAAGATGAAATCTTTAATCATAATTTCCAATCCGAACCCAGTTTTCTGAGAAACTCAAAAAATGTGCCAATGTTATTAATGAAAGTGACACAACTTGATTCAAGAACTGATGGGTTGTAACTAAATGTGAGCAAAGCACATTGCTTAAGCTGCAACCAGAAGAGAAAGTAGAAAGATAAAATCTTTACTCTAAAGGTCCTCAACACGGATGAAATCAAGAAAAAGATAAGCAAGATCAGAAAGTTGAGGATATCATAAGCTGGAACAAAGGAGCACAAAAAGGATTGATTTCCTTTACAAAGCAATGAAAACAATATGATGATAATAATGATAATATCATGATCAAACTTAAAAGACAATGACCATTGACCATATGAGCAAGAAAAACAAAGAACAGTAAAAGATGGGGGGTTTTGTATGCTTACAACAGGAAAAGTGGAAGAAGAGAGACCTGCTGAAAGTCCTGATTGTTTTTTTAAGTGGTTTGAGGGTGAGATTAGATCTCATGTTTGATGGTTTATGAAAAGTATTTAACGAAGGTTGTTAAAGGGGACCAAACTAGGATAGCGAGTGACAGAGTGAACCATAAAGATATAGTAAATGCAGCTAATTTGGTGTGTCTAATCACACTCACAAAATCTTAAATACATTTGTTTATACGATAAAGATCCACTCAGATTCAGATCCATTTGTCCATTCAGATTCCAATAGTAAGCTCAAAATTGGGTGAAGTGGTAAATGAATTAAAATTGACGAAGCCCTACCTAAATCGGGTTAAAATATGACTTGGGATATTTTCTTTTGGACTGAAATTTGCTGCTTTGGTCTGATCTGATCTGATCTGGTAAATGTCTGGTCTCTGTGTATTTTATAACTACAAAAGTCAGATATGATCTACTCTGGTCCGGTCTGATCTGGTCAGGGACTGAAAACAAATCAAAAGAAAACATGCTTAATATAGAATTTATTTTGCTATGGACTTATGGAGTAATAAATAAAGAAACACATACTCTGTATATATAAAAGAATAAAATAATTTTTCATTAAAATAGAGTATTTTTCAAAAGTATCACTGAATTTTTCCCAATAAAAATTGAATATAAGTTATTATAAATTTAGTTACTACCATAATCACTTACATTTTTTTGAATAGCCATAATCACTACGTAACATGTCACAATATTATAAACCCCATTTATTTTAGTCATAAATATATCATTATATAGAAAAGACATTCGACTTTAAGGTTTAAATTACTAACCAATTAGCATGTGGACTAAAAGTGCCACTTGCAGAAATATGATGATACATAAAATTGATAAAGTTGAATAGACGGAAAATAAAGCAATCAAAGGTCACTTATATGAATGATTTAGCCATTATAAATACCGACTACAAACTTTAAGTGATCATTTGAAAATTGAGATATCCCATAAAACTTGATGAGATTCACTTTTCTATAATGATCAAATTGGGTCACTGATATATTCTATACGAAATTATTTCACATATAAAAATTATATGAAAATATTTTTTTGTTCGAAATACTTTCATAAAAGTTAAAAGTTGTAAGTTTCACACAAATTAAATATATTAACTAAAATCATTCTCCAAACTTCTTATCATTGATAAAGAAAAGTCAAATTAATTAAGTTTTACGGAGTATAAGACATACGTATGAACGCTTACCATAAATTTTGTATTTGTAAGAGTTTTTTAAGAAAGAGACTAATATTGAATAATCGGATTTCAGAAAAATTACATCAAGACAAAAAAGTTTATTTCCAACAATATGAGCACAAAACACAATATGACTCGTTGATTCTAAATTAGACATAACTGAGTCAAAGACGTTCGAAATAGACTTTCTCTCCCACATCTAAATTGCAGAAAGTACTACTATTGGGTCTAGTGGCAAACAAAACACAACAAAAAAACATTGAGTTTATAAAGAAAACGAAAATTAAAAGATTAGTATTTTAATGAAAATGCTGCCTCATGACCACGAGAAGCATGACCTTCTAACTTGAATGAAAAAATGTATACACATTTCAATTAAATAACGATATTCAAATAAGCTCTTTCTAGAAGTGTATGTGTGAACAATGGAACTAACACTTTATTTCAATAGTGGTTTTTGACAAATAAGAACCTAGCAAGTGTGAAACATTAAGAGGATGTTGTGAAATTGATGATGGTGTCCTCAAAGTGAGGTATCTATTAGTATTTTTATAATAGGTATTGATAATTGAAACTTATATATCCACAAATTACTTATAAGTTTTTTGAATAAATATGAACTTGAATACTATACGACAAAAAACATAATATATGAAGTCATAGCTAGATAAAACTAATTGATGCTCAAAAAAGAGTGCTATATCAACCAAATCAAAATAGCTCACCAGTAATATAACGTGGATATAATGATATTTCAACATTGACTTATGGTTATATTTTAGTAAATGCTAGCCTTATCCTTTCAGTAATTTGATCAAATAAACTCTCAATCAGAGAGACGGAGCCAAGGGGAGCAGCTGACCCCGCTAAAAGTTTGAAAATATAGAGCTTTGAAATATTTTCGATTTGATATATTACGGCCCCCGTAACTCATTACGAGTAAAAGGTTATGATTTCTGCAAAATCAGCATTATCTAAACGTAAAATCAGCAAAATTTGATGTATACAATAGATTATTTTTCCAAATTTTAAAATAAGGTATAATTCACTCAATACTTACATGATATGACTCAGAAATAGAGCAAAGAAGATCTATTTCATTGCTACGAGTGTTTATTTATCTAAACTGCATATGAAATACGGAATACATAGTATTTAATTCGTACATTATTTAAAAACGATCCACCATTTTCATTCTATTTATAAGTTGCGTTTCAACCGCCTCAGCCGTTTTTCTGACCCCGCCACTACTCTGGACTTTTTCTGCTTTTGTCTCTAAGTGAAAATATGATTCAATTGTTTAGATTAGTCAAACAATACCTGTTTTTCTCTCGGAACAAGATCCGCAGCCTTTATAGCAAAAGTATGCTCCGTATTTAAGGATTAATCGGAACCAGACTCCACTATCGACTGGGGATATCTGTTCTCCAACTCAGCGAGTAGGGGTGGGTTCGGTTCTTTCGGTTCGGTTTTTACCTAAAACCAAATACGGAACCAAACTAAAAGTTCGGTTCGGTTTCGGTTCGGTTTTACACTCCAAAACTCGGAACCACGGTTTGATTGGTTCGGTTTGTTTCGGTTCGATTTCGGTTCTTTGGGTTTTTTACCAAAAATTTGTCATTTGATTTAAAATTGATATAATAGTTGGAGGGATCAAACATATTACATAAAAAAAATACAAGCACACTAGAATAAATGAAGTAAAAATAAGAATAAAAAAAACATGTCTTGATTTATATGAGTATTCATGAGAGATATAAGTGTATATATTCCTAATTTACATTGTTTGTGACTAGTTTGAAAAGTGTTCATGAATATAGACATCATATGTGATATAGCTAAGATGAATATTTATTTGTTTTATCAATGTAAAAAATGTAAGTTACATAATAATATAATTTAATTACTACTAATAACCTTTAAAATTAATAATCATGCAACAAATTGCAACATACATACATACATACATACATACATACATACATACATAAAAGACATAATCGATCAATATGGCTACATTATTATGAGCAAATGAATGAGTAAATGCATTTATAAACTAAACATAACATAAACATTATTTCTGTAGCACAAAAAAATCAAAGACTATTGATGATATTAGGATTAATGATTAAAAATTAACAAATAAAATTTCATATTGTAATTAGTTCGGTTTGTTCGGTTCGGTTCGGTTTTGAAGGGTAAAAACCAAAACTGAACCAAACGACTACGGTTCGGTTCGGTTTTTTATATTCGGTTTTGCTTTTTAGCGGTTCGGTTTTATTTGGTCACGGTTCGGTTTAATTTGATTTGGTTTTCGGTTTTCGGTTTTCCGGACCCAGCCCTATCAGCGAGACATATGATTTACATAAACTATATACGATAGTACTTCCACCCTTCTTAAATAAATGCAATGGTCAACATTTCACACTTGTCAAGACACAACTTTGACCATTAATATATATAATTTGTACTAGTAAAAAAAATAAAAAATTAGTTTTTGAAAATTTACAATGAGACAAATTTAACAATATTTTATTCATAAAATAATATTAATACATTAATAAATAAACGTAGTCAAAGTAGAATATGTGAATAGTATAAAATTTCACATGTTGCATTTATTTAAGAACGGAGGTATTATAAAGATTACTCCCTCTCTAACATTTATATCTGCCTACTTTTTTGGATTTCATTTATATCTTCGATTTCTAAATCTTTCTATCATAACCTCAATAATTTAAAAACTAATACACTATTACACCTACTTTTTTTGGATTTATCCTTCATTCCATCACATTATTTCACTATCTTCTCATCACACCCTCAATAATTTATATCCTCTTTCACTATTCTTAATTTCACCCACTTTGGAAGTGGGAAGATATATGTGAATATGTGATACGGAGGGAGTATATTATTATACGGAGTATATATTACTCGTATACTCTGTATAATAATTGTGAACTTGTGGTAGTCCTAGAATAATAATGGCAATAATTACGGAGTACTAATTACGGAGTACTAACCAAACGCGATATTGACTTTATGGTTTGATGATATTATTGTGACATTCTCAAACAGGAAGTCACATGATATTACTATTTCCAAAAAAATAGAAATAGTAATATTGTAGGGTTCACAACTTCACATCCGTAGAAAACTTGTTGCAGGTGAGAAGAATAGGGGACCAACCTTGAGCTTTAGTTGAGTGGAAATGTGAGATTAGACAACTTCTTACCCAATTTAGCATGTGATACATACTAATATGGAGTTGTTGAGAAGGAAATTCATACATAAAAGAATACCACGTGATACATACTTGCACACTTATTATTGACAAAAAAAGAAAAGTATTGAAGAGTGATGTTACTTCAATTCAACTTTCCAGAATTGAAGTCTAAGGATTAGGGGTGGGCATAACGGTTTGGTTTAACCGAATCGAACCATACCAAATCGAACTAAACCGAACCGAAACCGGACCATATGCAATTTTGTTTGAGTTTGGTAGTATTTCTTCCAAACCGTATTAAACCGAACCAAACCGAACAAAACTAATGAAACTCAAAAAAACTTTCATATATTATTAAAATTGGTGGTTTGATTTTGTTTGGTTTGGTAAACATTTTCTCAAACCGAATGGTTTGGTACTTTGGTTTGGTTTACTTTGTATTTATCTTCACTCTTCATTTTTAAGATATAAAATAAATAATTAAGACATGAAAATACATATTTAAGCATGTATTCTTATCATTTTAACTTTTACACATTTCATACATTCATCATGACAAAGTTAGCTAATACGACATATTTGTATTTATTATGTTTGGCGATAACAATAGCAAATTGCATTTATATTTTTACATGATTCAT